TGCTAAATCTAGGTGTCAAACCCCAGTGTGCCATGTGGAAGTCCAGCATCTTAACCAGTACACCACCTGCTGGCCCTTGGAATTTAAAACTTTCATCTGTTGCCTAAAGATGGTCTAATTTTGTTACCCTATTTTTTGAGGTTTTTGCTTTAGGTGGGTGTGCTCTCCTGAGAGAGAGGAAGACAGAGACTGTGAGAAATCACCCAGTCTTGGGGGTGGCCATACTGCAATCTCTTCTCTTCCATTTTCCTCCTGGGGTTTTGGGCATGCACGCACACACGCCTGGCATGGTTTTCAAGCTGCCAAGTCCGGGACTCAGACTCTGGTTGCCATGTGGGAACTGCTATGCCATCCGCTGGCCCTTATTATTATCTTTTAATTGGTTATAGGTCATGTGCATTCACCAGAGAGAGAGAGCGAGAAAGGGAAAGTGAGAAAGCAAGCTGCCAGGTCCGGGACTGGAACTGTAGTCGGCCATGTGAGAGTCCAGTGCCTTAACCACCACACTACCTGCTGACCCTGCAAGTTTAAGTTATAGATATAATTCAAGGGGAGATCTCGCATTTATAAATGAGAAACAGCCCTAGAGGGTCGATGCTTCCCAAGATCCAGACAGGACTTCCTTCCCCTCAAACGGGCTGGGGACAGAGGACAGGGACCCAGTGGGGGGCAGCAGGGAGCCCTTATGGTTCAGGGACTGAAAAAGTAGAGAAATTAGACATGCCGAGTCTCAAGCTACAAAGAAGCTTAAAGACCAATGAAATCCCACGGGCGGAAGTGGTGCAGAGGCAAAGTGCAGCGCTGCATGGCTGGCCCTGGGGGCGGTCCTGTCCTCCTGGCACATGCGTGCCACGGCCGGCTGAGCCGGGGCCACGGCAGCGAGTCCCTGCAGGGTGCTGTTCCACTCTGCCTCTCTTGTTCATGGATGAATTAAATAAAGCTTAAAAGAAGGGGGGCACCTGCTGGCATAGCGGTTGAGGCAATTGGATCCCACATGGCTGACTATGGGGTTCAAGTCCCTGACTCAGCAGCTTGAAAAATATGCTGGGCACTTGTGCCCAAAGTCTCGAGAGGACAAGGGACTACAGCATAGCCACCTCCCGGGGGGTGTTCTCTCTCTCTCTCTCTGTCTCTCTCTCTCCAGAGAGCACATGTGCCCTATGGAAAACGAAACAAATAACAGCAACAACAAAACCCAAAATACACAACTTAAACAAAAAGAAATTCCAATCCAAAATGAGACTCAGAGAAGGGGAGTGACGTGCTCAGAGTCAGAGCCAACCAGAGCTGAGCGCGGTCCCTCTGACTCTGTGACCTGGCGAGGCCTCGCCCTCCGGGGTCGGCATTCCGGATTCCTCTCTCTGCAACTCCTCGCTGTGTCTGGCACAC